TTGGGAAGACGTTTGAAAACAAACAATATAGTTTCATCGACTTCCCGCCCCAGCTGTGATAACTAAAAGCCAGCTAATCATGATTTACAAGTAAGCAAATATACCTTTGATTTTCGTTCTAGTTGTGGTCCCAGTTCTATAAGCTCAGCTTGCATAACCCCTACAAGATTGTTCGACTCTGCTAGCTTCAGGAGTCCTGTCGCTAACCGATCCTTGTTCAAGCTGAACTTGGAAGCCTTCTCGTGGAACTTAGACAGAAATAGTTTGACAAATTCCATGTATGTGGTAGGGGTAGTGTAGTATTTACGTTGCATCTCTTCGTAGAATAGTATCGCTTCTTCCTCGACGCTTTTATGGACTTCAACGAATGTCTTGGCTAAGCTTTTCTTTAGCGCGTTCTTGTCATCAACCTTCACCATGTCAAATTCCATCAACTCAAGAAAAGAGTCTGCTACAGACTGCAGAGCATCGAGCGGCCATTTGTCGTACCAATCGATGGTACAACAGTTAATAAGCGAGGGATAGAGCCGACAGTTTTGTCGGAAGTGCTGTCCAACTGGACTAGTAGAGATAACTAGATGTAGTCTTTTCTTCACTCGTTGCATGAAGTATTTGAAGACAGATGTTTTTGTGTCTGGGATACCACTGCGTACGGCTGAACGTTGAAGTTCAAGAAAGATTTGTTCAAGGTCTTCGTGGTCAAACAAGTCATGGATTTCACCTGAGCTTAGTATTGTACTGATTCCTTCTAGAAAYAAATCCTGGAAATATGAAAGATAGAAATGTTATTCACTAAGATTTACTAGCTTTTCTGTAAAATTGATGTAGGTTGACATTTCATGCTACCGGAGGACCATACTTCGACCATCGTTTCCAAAAACGACCAGACTCAACCAAAAAACCTTTGATACTTAACTGGGACAATGCAAATAATGCGACATTAGGTTCAATATTTAGCACAACATGCGACAGCATTGAAATAATGAAATAAGATTACAACTCGGCACGTCCCCGTACAGCTTTTTTTAATGTTTGTTTTTGTTTAAGAGAGCAAAGAATATAACCGTGAAACTTTAGTAATACTAAATAGCACAATTTCATGCAAATTCCA